CTTATTTTCATCTTTTTTTACAGGCAAGCCATCGGATCCCACTTGATGACAGAGAACCTCTTCTTCCTAGATGAAAGTATCAATAGGTAATGTGTCTGTTGTTTGGTAGAGCAATGTCGGAGAGATGTCACAGTTCCACTTGGCATTAACTGCGGTGCTTTTGTTTTGCTGAATTGCAACATTTCAACTGTATACATCTTTTAGTTGAAGTCTATTTACGTTTGTGATACAAAATTGAGAGCATGCTCTATTAGCAAGATGTGAATATAAATGCTTAACCATTGGGTTTGATTAGAAATTATTTCAGGTATATACATATCATTGGAGTGGCATTCTTTGGCTTGTCAACATGGATGGATAGTACAGATGCTGGACCATTTATATATATAATGATGATGATGAATCTCAAGAGTATTACAATCATTTCTTTTTCTTTTTCTTTTTCAACTCAAAAAGGTCTAGGGAAATTTTTATGAGAGAGCACCAAGATTTTTAATCATGGTATATGAGGATAATTTTGTACGTAGTATTTGTTTCTTGCTATTTTTATTTTTGAACTAAAATCCGCACTCGGACATATTTCCATTTAATACGTACGTTGTAGAGAAGATCGGACTGTTAAAGTGGTCAACTCACTATCCCTAGTGCCTCTATGTTGATACATCCTATAGTCGTAAACAACTTTATTTCCATGCTTCTTTGAAGAGAGAAAAATGTGAAAATTTTATTTCTCATCTCATATCAAATTTAGTAAAGTTTATGTGGTTCTAGATCATTTGTATTTTATCAATACAATATTAATCATATAAACTCACTATTCTTAGTAATCGTGTTCCCTAGGGGTGGACCGGTTCCGGTTCGGGCCCGGCCGGTTCGCGGTTCTGTTTTGTTGGGCCCGAGCCCGAACCGGTAGCCACCGGTTCCGGGCCGGGCCGGGCCACCCGGTTTGTAATTTTTTTTTTTGGCTTCTCCTATTTAACCCCCAACCCATCCCCCACTCCCAAACCACCCCAAACCACCTCAAATGGCCCAAAATACCTAGCCCAACCCAAAAACTTAAAAAAAAATCAGAAAAAAAAAATAAATTCGGCCCGGACCAGGCCCGAACCGGCCGGGCCAGTTCACCAAATGGAGGGATTGGGCCCGGACCGCTATTCCACCGGGCCGGGTGGCCCGAACCGGGCACTAACCGGTTCACCGGGCCGGTCCGGGCCCGCACAGTAGCGGGCCGGTTGGCCTGGCCCGAGTCCATCCCTAGTGTTCCCCTCCCATATCTCACTATCACAAATAAAATAATAAATCATTAGTTCCTTTTACGATGTATAAAAACATTTGATGTGATTTGATACGAAAATGTTTTTGGTGTCTTGAAAGTTGAAACAAGCAGCAAGTTTTTCTATATATGATAATGTGATTACAATTTGGGTTTGTATGATCAATTATGTACTGATTGGTGTTTTTTTTTTTAAACTGTGTACGTTTAAACAAAACCATTTACTTTTAAATCCAGACCTTTTATAAATCAACTTAGTTGATTTGTAGAATTTATGGATTTCATATAAATGATGTCTATCAATTCCATGAAAAATACTCCCTCCGTAACTTTAGAATCTTCCCATTTCAAAAGTAGGTAGATTAAGAATAGTGAAAGATGATATGAATTATTGAGGGTATGATGGGAAAATAGTGGAATAATGTGGTGGAATATAGGATAAATCCAAAAAAAGTAGTTGTAATTGTGTATTATTTTAAGAATTATTGAGGGTATGATGGGAAGATTTAGAAATGGGAAGATTTTTGTGTTACGGACGAAAAAGGAAAGTGGGAAGATTTTTAAGTTACGGAGGGAGTATAAGTTTAAAAAAGAATTATGTTAGTACATGTGGTCCCACCCTGGTCCCGATTCCGCATTGGCTAGTCCTGGTTATTGCCTCCCGGTTCTAACATGTGGAGGCTAGAAACCGACCCGGATATATGGGTCCCGGTTTGTTCTTGGGTACTCTAGTAACTCGGTTGTTCTCGGGTTTGGTTTGGGTGGTTTTTTCTAATTTTTATGTATTACTCCCTGTCAGGCATGGACCCGGTTCGGGAACCAGCTCGGCCTGGTGCCTCAAGTCCGAAACCGGTCCTTGGCCCGGTTTGAAAGGTAAAGCGGGTCGGGCTCGGGCTGATGAAATGGGAACTTGACCCGGCCGGGCCTAGTTCAGGCCCAAAAATGTTCTTTTTTCAATTTTATCGGGTTTCCCGGGTTGGGCTTTCTTTCTTAAGTACCCCCTTAATTTGTGCGGGCCCAAGCTTCATAATAATCTCAACTATCGATTATTTCAGAATAATCCCAACTTTAGGGACCTTCCGCCAATAATGATCCGACATGACTGGCTATAAATAAATTTTTATAGTTTCTGAAGTGGATGAGAAGAGATATAGCAAGTAATCCCTATAAATAATCCCAACTTTTAATTTTTTCGCTTAATTTCTATTTTAAATTCACTTGTTGTAGCAGGTAATATCTGATTATGGACCATTATTGACGGACGGTCCATATAGTTGGGATTATACAAAAATATTCAATAGTTGGGATTATTGTTAGCGGACCGACAATAGTTGGGATTATTATTTTCAATTTTTCCTAAAACAAAATGTCTCACTAAAGTGTATGTGCTTCTCTATAATGAAGTAGCAGTCAGTCGGTCAGCCCATGCAATTTTTGACGGGATTTTCACCACGGGTCATCCGAAAATAGTCTCTCTGTACTTTAGACACAGGTAATGGTGTGTACATCCGACATTCCGACGCCCTTACTCCATCGTAGATGGAGCCTTTGCGACATAGGGGTACTGATGATGATGAACAAATTAAGAGTTTGGGAGACAACTGGTCAAGTATATATTATTTAATAAGTTCAACTTGAAATATAAAAATAAGCATATGAGGCATCATTACACTTGGTGTCATTAATTCAAAAATAAAATCCTATTTTTGCATGCTAAATAAATAAGTGCCATGCCTTACATTTCATCCCAATAAAGCGAATTGGTTTTTACCATTATCAGGTTATCAGCCAATTTAGTTAGTCTAGACAAATAAAGTTAGAGCCCGTTTGGTAGCACAAAAATCGGCTGTTTTGGCTGTTTCTGCTGAAATTTATGAAGTTCTGGCTGAAGTGGCTGTTTTGGTTGATTCTGCTGATTCCAGAAAAAAATAGTTTAAAAATATATTTTATTAATAAAATAAAGAAAAAATTACATGTAAAAATAGCTAAAATGGTCGTCTACAGTAACTTCAGCCAATACAGCCAGAAAAGTAACTCCAACCTTACTTTTTCTGCTTATTACCCAATTCAGCACGCGAAAGTAAAAATTACGTGTTTGGTGAAAAAGCTGGCTGATAAGCCTGATAAGCCGAAAAAAGGGTCTCCAAACGGGCTCTTAGATTTTGACAATGATAATAACTAAACTATAGGGAAAAAGGTTTGTGCCTAACGAGCACCAAACCACAATCCAAAGTTCCAAACAATATAATTATCGGAAATTGTCCTAAATAGGACTAATGAGTTCCTAAAAAGCACAAATAGGACTACTACTTTTTAAATTCCCTAAATAGGACTAAACATAGATTTTCTACCCTAAATACCCCTAAGAGTATTAATTCATAATGAAATGCTTTAATTCATAATAAAATCATAAAAAAACGTAAAAAAAAAAAATTTTAAAAACGTAAAAAAATTATAAAAAATTTATAAAACATTTATAAAATAAAAAATTTAATTTTTATTTTTTTAAATTTTTTTTAAAAAATAATAAAAAATAGTAAAAACCCATAAAAAAATGAAAAAAATTATGGATACATTTCCCACCGCCATCCGCCGCCTCCCACCACCACCACCTCCGATTGGTGAAATTTCTTCCACTTTTGGTAAAAAATGCCATCTTTTTCTGAAAATGCCAAAAAGATGGCATAATTATTCTTCAATATGCCAACATTTTCATTGAATATGCCATCATTATGGCATTATTTAAAATGTTGGCATATTTTTCTCCGGTGATGGGAGCTGGTGGTGCTGGGGGTGGCAGGGGTGGTAATGTTTTTTTTTTTTTAATTTTACGATTTTTTTTTATTTTTTTATTTTTTTTTTAAAATATTTTTTTTTAATTTTTTTTAAAAATATTTTTATTAATTTTCCATTATCTTTTTACGATTTTTAGTATTTTTTTCGATTTTTATTATTTTTGTATGATTTTATTATTAATTAAAACATTTCACAAGTTACAAGGGTATATTTGGCCAAACACACATAAATAGTCCTATTAAGGGGATTTAAAAAATGTAGTCCTATTTGTGCAATTTAGCCACTTTTTAGTCCTATTTAGGGAATTAACTCTATAATTATATAAACAATACAATAAAACGTCATTAAAGAAGTAGCCTTACCTTAAAAAAAAACTATTATCTTTTGGGCCTCTTAATATTGTGAAAGAACAGTGCAGGAAGACATGAATTATGAGGAATGATAAAACTCTAAATCCATAACATAGATTAGGCATGGACCGGTTCCGGTCGGCCCGGGAACCGGCCCGACCCGCCACTGTGCGGGCCCGGACCGGCCCGGTGAACCGGGCCTAGGACCGGCCCGATGTGTTAGAGCGATCCGGTTCCGGGCCTACCCTTCCTTTGGAACCGGCCCGGTCGGAGCGGGCCCGGTTCGGGCCTATTTATTTTATTTTTTTGTTTTTTTTCAATTTTTTTTTTGTTTTTCCCGGGTTGGGCTAGGTGTTTTGGGGGTTTTGGGGGGGGGGGGGGGTCAGGGGTTAATTAGAAAAGCAAAAAAAAAAAAATAACCAGTCCGAGACCAGCCCGGACCCGGTTGCAAACCGGGCCGATTCCGGGCCCGGGCCCAAAAAATAAAAGCCCGATTTGGACCGACCCGGCCCAGAAACATATTCAAAACCTATTCAAAACATATTCAAAACATATTCGAAACCGACCAGATTGTGTGAAGTGTGAAATGCACCAAAACAGTTCAAAACATGAGTGCACCGTAAAATTTTCCTAACGAAAAATGCTTAAAACACAACACTACAGGTCTGTCATTACAATTTAGTATAGTTTAGATTACATTTGAGTAAATCCAATCAATAACTTTAGGAAAAGTTTTCTATCAAGAAGTGCAACTGCATAGGGAGAGGCTTACTTTCCTCCAAAAAGCAAAAAATGGTGCTAACTCTTGCGTGTTCTGTAGATTGCATACACTAGCAACCATGGGACTGAAATGCTATATATTGGAAAATGGATGAATGGGTTCATTTCATATGCTTTCAAAAGAACTCGGCAACTCTGCATACAAAAAGTCAAACTTCAAACTCAAAAAAAGAAGTAAAGATGCAAAATACAGAGAAAATTTTTCACGTTATCTATAATTTTCTTTCCCCAGGCCATACTTGATCACTCAATTTGGTGTTCAACTTTTTATCTTATTAAATATTACCCTCAACAATGAAATTCAGAACCAATTTTTAGTCCTTATACATATTTGGTTACAAAACCAGGTTTTCCTACCCAACCACTAAATTGGGACTCAATTTGGCCCTCAACATAATATACATTGGACACAATTTAGTGCCCAACATACGAAAACGACATTCTTAATTAGAGTGGAATATGCGCGAGGACTAAATTGTGAACAGAAAGTCAAGGACCATATTGAGTGATGGTGTAGCTGAAGCATCAAATGGGGTATACTTCATTTAAAGACTGCAGTACTGAAAATCTTCATGCCCAATCTTGAACAACTTGTAATTATACTTCAAATTTGGCTCAGAGAAAGAAACATAGAAACACATTCTCAAAAGCCTGAAATGAAGCGAATATAACGTACCAGGAAATGGACACAACAAATTGTCAAACATATCACCATGAGGACCTTCCTAATCCAACGCACACTATGAGGTAAAGAATTGGATCCCTTCTTGGAATCGAAATCATCCTCTTTTTTACCAGAAAGAAAACGCTTGCTATCTCGATGTACTCCTGCTTCAACAATCAATGCTCCAATTACGAGACAAGTAGGCAGCACCACGACATAAAGATGTGGGATAACAACCACCATTACATCCGGAAACCCTACAAATTGTATATTCTCCTTTGTGAAATAATTGAATGCCCAACCACGATAAGTCATGTATCCTTTTTCTCCTTCCGCGAGACCTTGACCACAAAGCCAGGGGCATAATATGAGGTAAAACAAATAACCAATCATGCCAACCCATACCCATTGAACACTGTATAATTCTGTCATAATCCATCTGACATTATTTACTAGTTCTCTGTTATTAAAATTCATACCATAAGTACTGAGCTGCCGTCTAGAAAATGATATTATAGTTTTTGGAACTAGAAGAAGGGAAAGAACAATTATGTAAAGGGACCATAATAATGGGTAATACAAAGCATCCCATTGAAACATCATAACCATAAATTCTTTCCAATTATGTGAGAGCATATTACGTTGACCAAGAGAGAATGGCCGTAATTCAGTCAAAGATGATCTTCCGCTGATGTCAACCGCCCTTATTTGCAAAAAAAATCGCTCAGGCGATGGATCTTCAAAGGAATTGAAATCCCACGGGCAACTGTAAAGGTCCCCCCTTGATGAGGATGAATTCTGCATTTTCATCATTCCAGACTCTGATACCAAACTGAGACTTCCCAGCTTTGAATCGTAGATCCTGGCCACGACAGACACTATTTGTGAAGAAGAAAACACAAGAGCTCTTATGTGACTGGAAAATGTGGGACCCACTGGTGGGGAGTTGTCTAAAACAAAACGCGAGTCAGGTGGGAATGTAGGCAATATAATAGTACTTTCCTTCATCCTCAATCTGAAGTCTAAATCTATAAATGAAATAAAACCTCTATCAACAGCCAAGATACGCATTGTTCTGCTCTTCTTCCAATCACCCATTTCCCACTCCCAAAATCCATGAGCTTCGTTGAGATTATTCTTAGAGAGGTGTTTGGGCCTCTCATGAAGCCTTTTTAAATTCTTCCCAAACGTTGTGTGCAAATGCCCACATAGGTAAACAGACAAAGATTGGTTCAGAAATACATCCTTCAAAGTCCTCCCAGAATATGCTGCAGCAGAAAAGGACAATGGAAAATGCCCAAATGAAATTTTCAGAAGAGATGCTGCGGGTGCAGTGTCCCATTGTGAAAGTTCTGAGTTCATTTCAGCTAACAGGTGATCAGTTGGGTGACCAAATAAGTTAGTTGGGCCCCGTAACCCTGACGACATTGTGCTGTCAAACGCAACGAAAAGTAGATTGCAGGTGCCGGTCTGGATGATGGATCACATGCATCAAAGAACGAGAAAAAGCTGAGTGTTTTCAATAACATCCATGTAAAACAAACATGCTAGGATTATTAGTACAACATGCATCAAAGAACGAGAAAAGGATGTATGGTTTTCAGTAACATCCACGTAAAACAAACGTGTTACTATGCTGGGATTACTAGTACAACCAAAACAAACAGACAGAACTCAGGACTTGGTTATCTCAACCGACACATAATACATTTGGGTCAGACCATACTAAAATATTACAGTAGTATCTAGCTATAAGAACTCGGCAGCTTATTTGGCGCCCATATCAGTCGAATAACCCGCACCAAACGGGCTCTTATTTATAATCATCACGTAAGTGCCCCAAAACAGGGTGCAGAAACAGGATAGTAAATAACCTGAACTCTAACACTGTTGACCCGCCCAGTTCTTCTTAGCTGTCCATTGATGCTATATTTTGAGTAAAAATCAAACGAACTACCAATGCTTGCACCATATGTATCATGATTTCCCCTAAGGTCAAAGAAATTAGTCTTGTTTAGTCCACTCTTTTTAATGACATCTTCCATAACTTCCTGATATTCTAACCATTCCGCTTCATCTTGATTTGATGTTAGCAAATCCTTGCTTTTTGCATCTGCAAGAAGTTCAGATGTTGATAAATTCAGAAAACATGACCCAATTGAGAGTGTAGATAAATATTATTGCTAGATTGCATGAACAACTATTTTGGGAGCATACAACATGAAACATAATGTTAAAGCAAAAAAAATACGGAGTAGATAATACATTAATAATCACAAGAGTAACGATGGGTATCTAATGGTCGAGGAGAATGAGGTAGATTTAAGTCTTAATGAATGAAGGCTTTGTACTCTCTATTCATAATAATACCCCGAGTAGTGAAGCAAATAGTTACCGGTTAGGTCACCGGTGAGGAAAACCAGGGAAGGATTGACCATGGAGAGAGTAGGGCCCACAATGTGCTTGAAGTCCAGTGCTCTCTCTGGATGGTGGGAGCTAAAGTGCAGATCAGATAGCTGAACCACCCAGGCGACATCCTCTGGTCCGCCCTCGAGCTCTATAGTGGTTCCCTTACCGCCGGTATCATCATGGTGGCCTTCACTCCCTAAGCCGCCGGCGCGTGATGCAAATATCAACACGATCGCTATAAGGCGGCATAAATGGAAGATTAGGCTGATCAAAGTGATCATTGCGTTGCGGGACAGGTCAGATTAGGACCCATCAGATAATCTTGTTTCTCTTTGTACAGTTGATATCAAAATACTACGCATGGGATTTGATGAAATGAAACAGAATAATACGGAAGGGTATACCGTACAGTCCGGGCTCCACCTACAGACGTGTTAAGACTGGCACCTATAGCAGACCGCCAAACCCTTTCCTTTGGTGAAAATCACGGTTACCCTTCAATAGGTATTAATAATGTAATTTTAATGAACATCAGACTTATTTTATTAATAAGTATTAGGAGTCTAATAATTTTATTAATAAGTATTAGGAGTCTAATAATGAATATCATCATTTCTATTTTATACGAAATATCTTCCAATTCACTGATTTCTTTTTTTAAATGTTTTAAATTACATATATAAACAACTCCTAAGAATTTCAATATGCGAATGTTAATGATTGGGAACTTTAGGCAATGATTTTAATTATTATATTTGTATAGAATTTATAAAATTTATACTTTTTTAAAATATTTTGAATAAGGAACATCTTGATATAATTTTCATACTCTAAATAATTTCGTATTAAAAAATATCATTGGTCAAAGTTGATTGTCATTAACCAAGAAAAATCAATTTGATGAACCTTTTCGGGACAAAGGGAGTATGAGAATCAACAAATTCAAAAGCTCGTTTGAATTTGCTAATGTGTTCAGATAATCATTTATGTATGCTCATTTGAATATAAAATAAACTCTTTTCTATACTCTTTTATTAACAAATTAATAAACTACTACATCTCTACAATTCTATAAACATGAATAATGTTAGGGGTATAATGATCATGAAAAATGTGTTGGTGTCTCGTTGTGCATTAAACAATTGTACACAATGCATAATTTACTCCAAAGCTAATTCACATGGCAATTAAAGGACTAACGGAATCTTTACACCCGATTGAATGTAGTCTCCCAGGCTTTGTTTCAGTTTGGATAGTTGCCAGACCCTCTATCTTCAGCGTTTCTCCGTTCAGGAACACACCGGCACATTCATGGTTTCGGTTCAGCGTTGCATCTCCACCGACTAAATTCATTCCGGCCAGTTATCGAAATCTGAAAAGTCTAACCTAAGAATCTAAGAAGTTGTGAGGATGAAAGTAAATTCAGATTGTTGAACTTAGAAATCCCCTCAATTTCACTCTCCTATGAGCCAAAGCCAAATGGAGGTAAGTAATCTGCCCCTCACAAAACAAGGGTAATAAAAAAAAGCGTATTTTTATGGATGTGAGCTAGACGGATAGATTGACAGGCATATGTGAGCAGATATATGAGCATACTAAAAACATGCCACAGGTAATATATAGCTCTCGGATTCATGAGTGAAACATTTTAGTCTAAGACTCATATAGGAAAGCTATATTAGAATTTGTGAGGAATAAATTTCCTTTTTTGTTTCTGATTTCTAAATGTAATTGTCATGATAATCTTTTCTAAAGATGATTCACTATTATCTTCAATGTATGCCAACCAGTTTCTCAACAGACATGGACCATGAAAAAGTGTGACATTGTTGGAATCAAAGTGAAACTATTACAAAAGGCTGTCCTCTTCCATGTTATGTGCTTCATCAGTTTCATAGGCCAGCTGATAGATAGATATATTTTTATGAATGCTAATATTTTTACTACTCGAGATGAATGTGGGTTGCTAATCCATCCTTAGAACATGTTGGTATTGGCGTAGGAAAGAATTTTAGATGAAAAATATGTAGAGTACAGTTGTGATAAAATTTCTTCTTTCAGTCCCTATAGAGTAGTGATCACATCCATTAATCACATATACATTAAATGGGATCTTATTTACATGCTCTGTATAAAATACAGAGTAATATTGTGTTTGTCGAGCAATGAATGAAAAACTAATACTCCGTATTACTATGAACAATATAGTTAACATACAGTTGTTCTTCCAAAAGAATGTTTTAACCTCTAACGAGAAAAGATTTATCATGAAGATGACATCACCTGAAACACTATACAATATTAGGACCATTGTGCCTTAAAGTTTAAGACACAATTCTTCAATGCATCCTGAAGTTTGCCAAGAACCTAATAGAAATCTCATATATCGTTTTATGTAATCCAAATGCTCTCTTTGATCAGGTTAACAATCCACATAGGAGAGCTGAAAACGTACCCACCAGTGCCTTGATACTGTTACATTATATGGTATGCAAATATGCAATGATTTGTCCTATTTTCATTTCTTCTCTTATATTGAATTGTATACTTTTATTATTCAATTTCTATACGGGGTGTTTGTTCTAATTTAATGCTTAAATGTAATATTGTGTTTAATTTCATAATAATTGATGTTCAATGTTTGCAGATCTATGTAGCGGCAGTCACACATCGCCAACAGTGCAGTAAGTTTGTGACATGGTTCAACATTTACAGTATTAAAGCTTCAAGACCCTCTCCTCTCTATTAATGAGTGTAGTAAGATTGAGCTTTGATTAATCATATTTCTTCATTTTATCCATAAAATAAAAATTCACCTAAAAGGTTCTCACCGCTATCCCAGCCATATTGATTTTAACATAAGAGTACTCTTTTTACATGCCCATCTTAATTAGCCTCGGCCTAGATTAAGATTAGAGTACTTCTCTGGTCCCTTTTTTCACTTTCATCCGTGACTGTCCATTTTTCTCGGTAAAGCACAAATGATTTTCTTAGCAACCATTCTGGTACAATTCCAAAGCTTCAGATCAGGATTTCTTTAGGTTTTTGAACCTCAAACGTTTTACAATTGTGTCATTAATTAATATATGTGTGTATAACATATAAAATGCCACTTTGAGTCAATGGTTTATTAGCTGAGATGTGCTAGAGATTACTATTTAAATTAGTGTAGTTTAATTGTCCAATTGTGATGCGAAAAAGTGGAGTTTGTGTTGATATGTACCCCTTGTTGTTCCCTTCCCACAGACATGCAACTTGGAACTCAACTTGATGGTATTAGGTGTTGATAAAGTGCAAAATTGATTAGGCCTTTTTTTATAATTTCGTTCAAGGTAAGTGGTCACCCTGATTTTAAGATTCAGATTTTTAAAAAGTATTTGGTATCCTTTCATATGACTGTTTTCTATTCTTAAATCATATTAAATCAATATACAATATGCATATTTCTCAATAAAAAACACATTGGGCATTTTATTCATTCGCGCAACGCGCGTATTGAAAACTAGTATCATTATATATAACAATGAGACATATTAAAAAGTTATATTAAAAATAATTTATAGTCTTTTGTTCTTGAATTACAAATATTATTTTTTTTAGCCTCAGCCTAATTAAAATTTAGGGATAAGGGATTTGAATTACAAATATAATCGTGTTATTTTTAAAATATTTAATCATGCATATTTGTTTCACTATACTTATTTTAGAATACCATAAAATTCATGTTAGTAATTAACACACAATATTTAATAAACTAATAAATATTTATCGTAAAATGAAAAACAAAAAAAATCAAAATATTAATTACCTAAATTATTTTATCATGCACAAATTTTTTAAAAAAAAATTGAGTTAGAAAAAGGGTTATGATTTTTTTATTAGACATTTTCATAATAATTGAATAAAAAGTTAAAGCAAAAGGTTGTTAAATAAAAAATAAGAAAAAGAAAAAAGGACAACAACAGGTAAAAGCACTGTACGAAACAAAAGAAAAGAAAAAAGGAAGAAAACGTAAAACAAAGGATCAGCATAGTCCTAGTCATTACAATGTAGTATCATGGTAACTTATGTTTAAAAATTGAACATAAATGACTATGATCTCTGTTAGGGTATTGGGCCGAAGCCCAACATACCCGGCCTAGAACATAGAAAGGCCGGAAGAAAGTTTGATGCCCAAAGCAGCCAGAGAAATTCTAGACATCCCGTTCGGGGTGGTACCCGAACAGCATTCGGAGTAACTTATCCACTTGAGCTAACTAACGAAGCACTGACATTGGAACACCCACTCGGAAGTCCCGCACCCCGAACGGGGTACCCCATCAGGAAGCCAACAAGTGGCAACCGCATTTAATGCATAAGTATGACGGTAGCAAGTGGAGACATAGGTGCAAAGGCGGCAGATGCGGCAGCCAGCCGGGACCAGCCACGTCGTCATCCCACCTACCCCCTTCTTAGTATAAATACTTGCATTGAATACATTGTAAATGGTTAGTATTTGAATACTCAGAGCTTAATAAGAGAATTATCATTCTAGTTCTTGTATTAGACACTATTCTGACGTGTTGTTCGGGTAATTCCCCTGTAATCGTAAAATTACTTAATACAAGTTGAGCTTCTGAGTTCATCCTTGACTCACTATTTTATATTTTATACACCTTTTTGACCGAGACCCACGTTCTTAATATCCAAAGCGTGTGTTGGGCTTTTGGGTCTACGGGTTTAAACCTCAACAATCTCATTACTACCATAGTCAATAGTCATATTTTTTTGTAAACAATATTTATTTTAGTCATGAATATGTAATTATTTCTTGTAAATGAGTATTTCATTACTACTCTAGTCAGTAGTCATATTTTTTTTAAATAATCTTTATTTTAGTCATGAATGTGTAATTATTTCTTGAAAATGGGTTTACAAAATAAAGTATAAAAGTGATGGCTATGTAGAACGATACAAAGCACGCCTGGTGATTAGTGGGAATTGACAAATACACAGTTCGGACTACCATGATACATTTGCTCCTGTTGTTAAAAAAATGGTCACAGTCCGAACCACTTTAGCGGTTGTTACTCATCATGGGGAACTCCATCAGATGGATGTTGATAGTGTTTTCCTGCATGTACATCTACATTAAGAGACGGTATGTTGTACAACCGACTATATGATGAGTACTGTATGGCCGATGACATTTTCGTAATGTAATTGAAAATGGTGGCCTCCCTTAAATCAGCATTAATGTACTTTTAGTGAGAATCGGATCTATTCTACTGAGTATGAAGAGTCTAATAATGAGTTTCGTGATATCTTCTTCATATTTTATAATTCACTTTCATTTTCATTTTCTTATTTTTCACAATATCTACAATGAACCTATATGAATCCAATATGTGAATTTAATGTAATGTTATACATTTGAAACATGCATGAATATGAAAGTTTAAATGAATATTGTACTAATATCAAATGAATATATACGAGTATAAATTACCGAAAAATTCTAAAATGTCGTTTAAAGTCTTCATTATGCTCAAATTTTTATTTGTGTCATATGATTAAACCTACTTATGTTTTAGGTTTCTCGCAATCTGCAACAAACAAGCAATCAAATTCACGCAAGAAAAAGAGAAAAAGAAAGAGGGAGCATACACTCAGCGGAGCCGCTGCATTGGTCCTAGAGGAGAAGAGACGCATGTCGAAGTGGTAAGTGGAAACGAGATGAAAGAAGGTATGGTGTGTCGTTTGCTCAGCTCTCTCTATGAGCTCCGGGATATGGTTTTCCTAAATACTGGATAGTGGATACTCCGGTTTCATTCTTCTCAAAGATTCTGACATGGTAAAGTAGCCCTAGTTGGGAAAAACTCCATTACAACACAAAGCCCCAACTCTCAAGTTGACCGTTGGGATCAAAGCCCCAATCTTATTGACTGTTGGGAAGACGGCTTTTAAGCGATGTTGAGGAGATGGCGGTGGGGAGACGGCTTTCCTCCTTCACAACCACAGCTTCCAGCGTTGGGAATCTGCTCCTCGTTGCGTCCATCGCCAAAGCCTTAGCAGAGCCCGGAGGATCGCGAAACCTCGACTCAATCGGAATTAACTCCTCCACCCCTCTTTCCCAAGATCTCGTCCTCCGAGTCCTCCGCCGCAACTCCCTCCACGCATCCAGGAAGCTCGATTTCTTCCGATGGTGCTCTCTCCTCCCCGAGTTCAAGCATTCCGCCGCCACGTACTCCCAGATTTTCAAAACCATTTGGACTTGCCGCGCCTACGACCAGGAGATTCCCGGCCTTCTCGACTCCATGAGGCACGACGGCGCAGAGCTCGACTCCCCTACCTTCAAGCTGCTCCTCGACTCATTCATCCGAGCTGGTAAGTACGACACCGCGCTCGAAATTTTGGATCTAGTAGAAAGCAATTTTTCAGATGACATTGTTCGCAATCGCTTGAGCAATGTTGCTTATAACTCCGTTGTGGTTGCACTTGTCCGGAAGAATCAGCTCAGCACGGCCTTATCCATGTTCCTGAAACTATTAGACTCTAAGAACACCGGAAACAATGATAGTAAGAATGGCGATTTCATAGAAGACCCTTTTTCCTGTAATGAGCTGCTTGTTGGCCTCAAGAGGGCTGGTATGAGAGCTGAGTTCAAACATATCTTTGATAAGCTCAGAGAAAGGAGGCATCCTTATCCATTAGACAGGTGTGGCTATAATATATGCATTCATACTTTCGGTCTATGGGGAAATTTGGACATTTCTCTACTATTGTTTAAAGAAATGAAGGAGAGGGGTGATGCCTTTACTCCAGACCTCTGCACTTATAACAGCCTCATTCAAACTCTATGCTTTCTTGGGAAGGTGAATGATGCTCTCATCGTCTGGGAGGAACTGAAGAGTTCTTCAGGTCTGGAACCCGATTACTACACTTACCGCATTCTGATTCATGGCTGCTCAAAGTCATATCGAGTAAACGATGCCATGAGAATATTCAATGAGATGAAGTATAACGGCCTGCGAGCAGATACCTTTGTTTATAACTCTCTATTGAGCGGATTACTGAAATCTAGGAAGCTAACAGATGCATGCAATCTGTTTGATAAAATGGTTGAAGATGATGGTATTCGGGCCAGTTGCTGGACCTATAACATTCTCATTGATGGTTTGTTTAAGAATGGAAGGGATGTGGCGGCTTATACACTCTTCTCTGATTTGAAAAAGAAGAGTAACAATTTTGTGGACGGGATAAGTTATAGCATTGTGATTTTGCATCTCTGCAAGGACGGTATGTCTGAGAAAGCAATGGAGTTGATGAATGAGATGGGAGGCAGAGGATTTACTATCGACTTGGTCACTATCACTTCACTATTAATTGCAATCTACCGTGAGGGGCACTGGGACTGGATTGATAGGCTTTTAAAGCATATTAAGGATAGGAATTTAGTTCCCATTGTCTTAACGTGGAAAGCATCCATGGAGGCGATGCTAGAAGCTAGACAAAGCAAAGAAAAAGACTTCACACGAATGTTTCCATATGATGGCGACTTGACCGATGTTTTAAGCGGCATTGTCGGAGGCTTAGGTACAGTAGAGAGAGGGGCTTACACTGGTGATGATAAAATTGATCCTTGGTCGTCGTCCCCATATGTGGATTTTCTAGCTAGCCAAACGATCCCTAACATTCTCTCTCCACATTTGTTCACACTTTCCAGAGGAAAACGTGTCGCTGACAAGGATCCAAATTCATTTGATATGGACATGGTGAATACCTTCTTATCCATATTCCTAGCTAAGGGTAAATTGAGTTTGGCCTGCAAATTACTTGAGATTTTCACAGATGTGGGGGGTATGGATGCCGTGAGCTACACCTATAACTCCATGATGAGTTCATTCGTCAAGAAGGGGTACTTCAATGAGGCGTGGGGTGTTTTGCTTCAAATGAGAGAAAAGGTCTGCCCAGAGGATATAGCAACATATAATGTTATAATTCAAGGTCTTGGAAAGATGGGAAGGGCAGATCTGGCAAGTGATATTCTTGATAGACTGATGAATAAGGGTGGTGGTTACCTTGACAATGTGATGTATAACACATTGATTAATGTGTTTGGGAAAGCGGGCAGAATTGAGGAAGCAAATCGGCTTTTCCAACAGATGAAAAGTGTGGGGATAAATCCTGACGTTGTGACTTATAATACACTTATTGAAGTTCACAGCAAGGCTGGGAGGCTGAAGAAAGCTTATGATTTTTTGAAGATTATGTTGGATGCTGGGTGTGTCCCAAACAATGTGACTGACAAAATTCTAGATTCCCTCGAGGAGGAGATTGAGAATGTGAGATACCAAAAGGCATCAATAAAAAGCCCTAATGTAAATGGTTAGCTTCCTTATGAATAAGTTTTTTTTGCACATCTACAGTTGACTGTGTGTACACTGGGACAATTTTGGTACAAGTCCGTCATTCACTCTTCCGAGTCCATCTTTCCATGCAACTTTATTTTGGCAAAATGTCTTCAAGCCCCTAAACAATAAATTAACACCCCACCCACCACTATTTTTGTTAACATCTTACATACTCTCTCTGTCCCTAAATAAACTTCCAACTTTCCTTTTTCGTCTGTCCCAATTAAAACATCTACTTTTCCTTTTTGTTAAAGAATTTGTGGTTCACACTAGTCATGGACCCGGGCCGGTTCCGGTTCCGGGCCGGGCCCGGCCGGGCTTTTTTTTGGGAAGGAAGGCCCGGGACCGGCCCGGGTAGCCACCGGGTCCGGGCCGGGCCGGGCCTCCGGTTCGGTCATTTTTCTTTTCTTTTTTTGCTTTCCTAACCCCCCCTCACCCCCCCACCCAAACCCCCAAACCCCTCCTAACCATCAAGCCCAACCCGGCTAACCCCAAAAAATGAAAAAAAAATAAAAAAAAAATCAATTTGGCCCGGGCCCGGGCCCGGCCGGGCCGGTTCGCCAAATACAAGGCCCGGACCCGCCCCCCACCGGACCTAGGCCCGACCCGGACCCGAGAACCGGGCCGGTTCCAGGCCCGCACAGTGGCGGGCCGGGCCGGTCCCGGGCCGGGCGGCCCGAACCGGGTCCATGACTAGTTCACACCAATTCTTATATATTTCTTTCTCCTCTGCACAACTCTCCACCACACAATACTCATTATCTTAAACTGTGTGCCAAACCTATTTGGAAGTTTTATTAGGGACCGAGGGAGTAATTACCAACATCGTTTTGTAATTATCATAACTCATCAAGGTCCCTCTCTATTGTCACCTAGTTTTCCATCGATGCGTGACAACATAACCAATTCGACAGTGACACATAATAGTTAGTGTACACTCCTTTAATTTTCCACCCCACCCCCAAAGCATAGCCAGTCTTTTGGCATGTTCAACATGTTCTCTAGTAATATTATTAGATAGCAAAATAGCAGATTAGAAATATAGTTTTAATAATAATAATAATAATAATAATAATAATAATATTAATAATAATAATAATAATAATAATAAAATAAATAGAAAAGGGCTGCCCGCATTCCGCAATCCTCATTTTAGCAAATTAGACACACGCTAAAACAACTATCGCAATGTTGAAATATTATTTGCGGTCTACAATGTCACAAGAGAGACTCAATGTTTAGCGATGATAGCAATGGAGAATGATGATTTGGAGAAGATTGAGTACAAGGATTAGATAGATGATTTTGCTTCAAAGATGACAAGTCAACTTTATTCAAATGATAACATAATAACTATATTTAGTTATTTTAAGAGCCCGTTTGGTAACACTGAAATTGGCTGAATCGGCCGATTCTGCTGAAATTTATGAAGTTCTGGCTTAAGTGGCCATTAGGCTTGGACTCGGGCCGGGTGGCCCGACCCGGAACTGGACCTGGCCCGGCACTGTTTGGAACCGGCCCGAACCGGTGGCCCGGCCAGGGACCAGCCCGGGTAGGCCCGGCCCGGGGGGTTTACGGTGCAGGCTCGGGTCAGCTATATATGGAACCGGTCAGGCCCGGTTCGGGCTTTATTCTTTTTTTTTTTTCAATTTTTTTAATTTCCCGGGTTGGGCTGGGTTATTTGGGCCATTTGGGGTGGTTTGGGAGGGGGTGGGGTGAGGGGGGGGGGGTCGGGGGTTAATTAGAAAAAGGAAAAAAAAAATAGAAACTGGCCCGATGTCACGCCCCGGACCTATCCGGACACGTCAACAATCCGCCGTACAGTACGAATAGTCAACCGCAGTCCAACACATCCATACTATACAAGGCGTCTGTAATAGCATTCACAATAGTACATCTGTAAACAAACATAATGTAAAAATATTCATTCAAGCAGCGGAAACATTCAATACAAGTGTTCATGCCACACCTTGGCAAACATGAGCATACAAGCCCCCAAATAAATATTTAAAAATAATATCCATGAGCATTAATTAAGTAGTTTGTAAAAATGGAAACGGGGGAAGCACGAACCACGTCTCCTCTCCTTGGATCCCCCCGAAAGCAACGGCGATGGTAGCAACCTTCAAGTTCTACCTGAAACTGTGAGGTGGCCTCCCCCGTGAAGGGGAGGTCAGTACTTGGAAGCATTTGACAAGTACAATGACAACTATACTAAGTATAATCAAAGTTTCAATTTCCAAGACCCTCAATCTAGGATGTTATTATTTTATAATCAACTCACGTTCTTTCATGCTAGAGCTCGGCTCATAGTCATACTAATTTGTGCTAGAGCTCGGCTCATAGTCACACTACATTTTGCTAGAGCTCGGCTCATAGTCATACTACATTTTGCTAGAGCTCGCCTCGTAGTCATACTACATTTTGCTAGAGCTCGCCTCATAGTCATACTACATTCGCTAGAGCTCGGCTCATAATCATACTACCACGTGCAAGAGCTTGGCTCATAGTCACGTCATCTAATCCTAAACAATTTCTTAGTCTAGGCTCCATCCATTTGAGTAACCCTTAAGGCTTACTCCTACTGTAACTTGGGTTCATAAAGTTCACCTTAAAAATATCCTTTAAGGTTACTTAGCTCCAATATCTTGGGATTAGCTCCAAAGACTATTGAACTAACATTTCCGACTGGTATTTCTATACTAGTCATTAAATCTTAATATAACCAATGCAAATTCATAATAGTTCGTATATTTCAATTTAATTCCACATTCAAGTATAGTTTGGCTCTAATATCAAAATATCACTTTTATCCTTCCATGACTTCTTTACATGAGGTAAAAGTATATTTATCACAATGAACATTCATGGTTAATACAACTATCATGCCATTTTATTCCTAACACATAATCATACACAATTTATTCCTAAATTTGTATATTATGCATTTTCACTTATAAACAATATTAATTTCATTCAGGCACTTTTTATCATTTATAAACCATGCCAAGCACATTTAATTCATTTAGGTAATCTCATGAAATTAACCCAATAATTATAAGCAATATAGTCGGTCATCCTCACCTTAAGTGAGCTCAAGTGCGTTTTACGCTTCCCGATTGAACTTTGACTAATTCCGGCGAACTTTGACCAACTCCGGCGAAACTCCGGCAAAGCTGAAAATACTTAAATCAAGTTCGTAACAAGGTTTTAACATCATAAAACCTTAATCAATACAAATAACCTCCAAAAGGTCATTTTCCGGCAACCCACCGTTTCGGCTTCTAAGTCCGTTTTTGGACATAGAACCACCTCCCAACCCATCATTCTACACTTAAGTCATGTAGAACAATCCTCAAGGTTTTTCATATGATATATATCTCATATGGTAGAAGAAAAATAAAGGAAAAGTTATGATAAGGCCATTACCTCAACTTTTCTCACTTTTTCCTAGCTTTTTTCCTTCTTAAACCACCTTCTTTGGACTACCCCTTCTTGAGCTCGTGCAGGAGCAATGGAGTATGTCTTGAGGGCTTTCTCTTCCTCCTCACTTGATGGGTTGGCCGAAATAATGCAAAGGGAAAGAGGTGAGGGTGTTCCTTTGTCTCCTTTGGCCAATGAGTGAGGTCAAAGGGCCCCTTTGCACCTCCTCCACTTGTTTCCTTGTCAACCCAGCCCCTCTCTTGTCTAATTCAACACATAAAATGTGGGGTGGCCCCCAACTCATGTGGGAGGTCATCCCTTTGTGTCCCAAGGTGTACAATCAGTCCCGAAAGTTGTATTTTTCGGACTGTTTTAAGTACATTTTATCGGGTCAAATTAAATATATTATGCGTTCTCAATCATTATGACCCTTATAATGAATATACATTCCCCAACTTTAATTTATAAGCCCACCGAAATTCATTTCGGGCTGTTATCTATTAAATTACCAATACCGGTAGTTGAGCCACTTTTGACCAAACGGTCCACCTTATGTCATTCCCTTGGACCAATTTAATTATCCACCACTATATAAATATTATCTTGACCAAGATAAATGAAATATATGGTTTCGGAAATTTCGGGCGGCCCCCGCTCCCGGTGTGGGCCCCACGTGCGAATTTACTATTCACGCAAAAGAGTCAATAAAAATTCACAACTTCGTATACTCATTAACCATTCCATAAGGTTCAATACATTATTCACTTAAAAGTAAATACATTTGGGGACGGTGTTACACCCAAGGCCCGGCCCGACCCGGACCCGGTGGCAACGGTCCCGGGCCTTCCACCAATCACAAAAGGCCCGACCGGTCCTAGGCCCGGCCCGGCTCCATGCCTAGTGGCTGTAATGGCTGATTCAGCTGATTTGTGAAAAAGTTAAATTTAAAATATATTTTATTAATAAAATAAAGAAAAAAAAATATATGTAAAATAGCTAAAATGATCCTCTACAGTAACTTTAGCCGAAATAGCCAGAAAAGTAACTCTAACTTTACTTTTTCTTATTATTACACATTTCAGCACGCAAATCAAAAGTTACGTGTTTGGTGAAAAAGTTGGCTGATAAGCTTGATAAGCCGAATAACATGGTCACCAAACGGGCACTAAATCATGTATTTTTCTATATAAACACTTGGACACAATTAATTTTGTCGAACTTTGTGAGTTTTTATTATTTGTAATTTTATTTTTGTTCACATGTAGAGCCTCATTTTGGTATTTAGAACCGAGCCTATAAATTTACTAGAGGACTCTGTCCAAAACTCAAAAGTGAAACATTTCTTTTTTCATCTTCACAACCCGAGTAATAAATAATTCTTCAGTGACTTGTTTTATTTGGATTACTAAGACAATTAGCAATACCATGTGCTAACAATGACCTCCTCAATATAAGCCAATCAACAAAGTAAGATGCATTCCAATACCAGGAACCAACCAGACAGCTTAGCTAAGAACTGTAAAATGCATTTTCCCCAATTTATTTCATAACCCGTTAACATACACTTTTAAAATATTCGGCTATTAGCTCTAAATAGGACTACAAGTAACCCTAAGGGCTCGTTGGTTAGTTTACACGTTAAATCTTTGCGCGCGAAGTGATTACATGCAAAGTATAGGGAAGCGATCATTTTGCGCGCAAAAAAAAATTACATTGTT